AAAAAAAAAAAAAAAAAAAAAAAAAAAAAAAGCCGGATGTGGTGGCTCACACCTATGGTTGCAGCTACTTGGGTGGCTGAGGTGGGAGGATCACTTGAGACTGGGAGGTGGAGGTTGCAGTGAGCCATTGGTCATGCCACCCACTTTAGCCTGGGCGACAGAGGGAGACCTCTTCTGAAGAAAAAAATCTGAATTTTTCTAATTTTTTTGGCTATGATGAATAAAACTGCTGTTAATATTTGTATACAAGTTTTTTTTTTTGAGACATAATCTGGCTCTGAGCCCAGGTTGGAGTATGGTTGGCATGATCTTGGCTCACTACAGCCTCTGCCTCTCAGGCTGAAGTGATCCTCCCACCTCTGCCTCCTGATTAACTGGGACCACAGGTGCTAATTTTTTTAGTTCATGAAGAGACAGGGTTTTGCAGTGTTGCCCAGGCTGGTCTCAAACTCTTGGGCTCAAGTGATCTGCCTGCGATAGCCTCCCAAATTGCTGGGATTACAGGTGTGAACCACTGCACCCAAATGATACACAAGTTTTTGTGTGAACATAAGTTATCCTTTTTCTGGGTAAATGCCCAAGAATTTAGTTACTGATTCATACGGTATATATTGATTTTTTTTAATTAAAAGAAAAAGGAAAACAGAAGTAAAATAAATTATGTGGTTCCTTTTTCTTTTTCTTTTAGAGAGGGAGTTTTCCTCTGTCTCCCAGGCTGGACTGCAATGGCACAATTGTATCCTTCACCTCCCAGGCTCAAGCGATTCTCCTACCTCATCCTCCTGAGTAGCTGGAACTACAGATGCATGCCACCACACAGAGCTAATTTTTGTATTTTTTTTTTTTTTTGTAGAGATGAGGTTTTGTTATGTTGACCAGGCTGGTCTTGAATCCTGGACTCAAGCAATCTTCCTGCTTTGGCCTCCCTAAGTGCTGGGAGTACAGGCATGAGCCACCTCACATGTCCATGATTTATTTGTGGAGTACTCACACTCTACAGTCTTCTTGCACATAACTTATTTACCGTGATTTCTGGTGCCCTGCTGTAGTATCGAAGCAATAATAATAATAATGGTATAGTTTTCCTTGTCTCATCTGATCTGTGTATATATTACAAATAGTAATTACTATTCATAGCCCACTAGGAGGCAAATAATGGTTACCTCCGGTGAGGTTAGCTCCTTTTCTAGATAGATAGGTTGAGGCATGGATGTTAAAGAATTTGTCCAAGGTTACAGCATGAGTCACTGAATTCTGACTCAGATTCATTCAGATTTACTAATTCTTTCTCCCTATTCTTGTCTCTTGAATCAGCCCTTTATAATTATGACTTTCTAGGTGTGAGGACATGTGAAGAGTTTTTTCTTTTTCTATATTTTATAGAAGCAGTAAGTATAATGGTTAGAGCACTATACAATACTGCTTTTTTGGCAACAGATTTGATTTTGAATCACTCCTTTACTTAGGTAAATCATTTAGCCTCTGTAATCCCAGTTTTCTGATCTGTGAAATGGGAATAACAGTACCCATCTACTAATCATAATATCGTTGTGAGGAAAAAATGAGATAAAGTGTCTAGCACTACCAAGTATGTAGCAAATGTTCAATGAATATTAGATAAATTGTTGCTTTAAGTATATGTGTTATATTCTGTCAATTGTCTTTATCAGTTCATATGTAACTGGATAAATACTCGTATTTTTCTGTCATGTACCATGTACTTAAGAAGGCTTTAAGATTGCTCTTACTCTTTTTTTTTTTTTTTTTTTTTTTTTTTGAGACAGTCTCACTCTCTTGCCAGGCTGGAGTGCAGTGGCTTACTGCAACCTCCGCCTCCCAGGTTCAAGCGATTTGCTTGCCTCAGCCTCCCGAGTTGCTGGGATTACAGGTGTGAACCACTATACCCAGATAATTTCCATATTTTTAGTAGAGACAGGGTTTCACCACATTGGCCAGGCTGGTCTCGAACTCCTAACTTCAAGTGATTCACCCACCTCTGCTTCCTAAAGTGCTGGAATTATAGGCCTGAGCCACTGCACTCAGCTGATGGTTTCTTTTCTTATTATTTTTTTTTTTTTTTTTTTTTGAGACGGAGTTTCACTCATGTTACCCAGGCTAGAGTGCAATGGCGCGATCTCGGCTCACCGCAACCTCCGCCTCCTGGGTTCAGGCAATTCTCCTGCCTCAGCCTCCTGAGTAGCTGGGATTACAGGCACGCACCACTATGCCCAGCTAATTTTTTGTATTTTTAGTAGAGACGGGGTTTCACCGTGTTGACCAGGATGGTCTCGATCTCTTGACCTCGTGATCCACCCGCCTCGGCCTCCCAAAGTGCTGGGATTACAGGCTTGAGCCACCGCGCCCGGCCTCTTTTCTTAATTTTTAATTTTTTTTTTTTTTTTGAGATGGAGTCTCGCTTTGTCGCCCAGACTGGAGTGCAGTGGCACAATCTTGGCTCACTGAAACTTCCACCTGCCAGGTTCAAGCAATTCTGCCTCAGCCTCCTAAATAGCTGGGATTACAGGTGCATGCTACCACACTCGGCTAATTTTTTGTATTTTTAGTAGAGACGGGGTTTCACTGTGTTAGCCAGGCTATTGATCTCCTAACCTCGTGATCCACCTGCCTCAGCCTCCCAAAGTGCTGGGATTACAGGCGTGAGCCACCGTGTGCAGCCTATATTTATTATATATTAATTTATAGGAAAAAATTAAGTTTCTTCTGAATTAGTATTTTCTTAGGCTCATATTCATAGAAAAATAGAAAGAAATCCTATTGATTTCTCCCTTTAATCTGCTCCCTCACCCCCAAACATACACATATAGTAGAACCTTTCTCAGTGAGTGGCTCCACTACCCACTTGGGACTTAGGCCAAAAACTTAGGAGTTACTCTTAATTTCGCTCTCACAGCTCAGACAGTGCATCTGTAATTTCCTTAGCTGTTTCTCCAAAATATATTCTGAGTATGCCTATTCACCTCTTACATTGTTAAAACCCCGGCCCAAATTCCCATTATCTTGCCATTTCCTTGGCTAAAATCCTCTAATAGTAACCCATTACACTTAATAAAATCCAAATTTTATCATGGTCTGCTGGTACCAGCCTGTCTCTGTTCTCTCACTTGTTAGCAGTGCTCTAGCCATCTTGGCCTTATTTCTGGCCTTCATATGTACGAAGTTTACCTACTAGGGACCTTAGTACTTGGTGCTCTTCATTCTCCTTGAAATATTTTTTTCACCTGCCACTTTTCTCAAGGCTTGTATTTCTTTTTCTTTTTTTTTTTTTTAATCGGACAAATGTTCAATATCCAGAACAATCAAGGCTTGTATTTCAAGATGCTGGTCTTAACTCAAATGTCATCTCAGAGAGGCTTTCTCTGGCCCCCATAGGTAAAATGGTGTGTGTGTGTGTGTGTGTGTGTGTGTGTGTGTGTGTGTGTGTGTTTTCTTTCACCTGCTATATTTTCTTTCTAGCCTTTTTCAGTACTTGAAAGTATTATTAATATTTAATTATATAAAAATCACATAAGCTTTTTGGGGGCAAGAATGTTCTTATTTACTAGAGTATCCTCAGTGCCTAGAACAGTGGCGAGTACATAGTATTTGTTTAATAAAAGCTTGTTGGTTATGTATCAGTGCTTTTGTGTCCCTCTACATCCTTAAATGTTCTTTATTTGGAAAGTTTGGGAAATGGAATCCAGCTTCTACTCAGATTTAAATAACTAGGTTCTTAAATCTAATGCCTTCTTTTGATTGGCTAAGAAATGTGATTGGCATGGTAGAGTGGCATCTGGGCCTTTTAGCATAAGAACTCTGCATTTAATAATTTGACTTCTTTTCTTGAAGCCTTGAGGGAAATTTTTTCTTTCCCTATTTTAGTCTGCCAAGAACCTGACCTGGGCTGACTCTTCAGATTGGAAAACACTGAACACAGTATCTACTGAGCCAAGCAAGGACTGGGAGTGTAGCTCTGATAGTATCTGAAGGAAAAGCCTGAATTCAAATCCTCCTTTGGCTCCTGACTCATCTGTGAATCTAGATGAATTTCTTAACCTCTTCCAGGTTTTGTTTTTCTTATTTGTCTGATGAGTAATCACATCTGTCCTAGGACTTGTGAAGATTCATGGGTTTTAGTTCTCAAAGCTTTTTTTTTTTTTTTTTTTTTTTAAACAATATTCTTGCTGTAGCTCCAGGGGTTTCCAGGAAGAATTGGGGGCAATGTGGTGCTCCGGGGAAGGAGTTGAACTCTTCCTCAAAGACTGTGCAGAGAATAGAAGGATGCCATCCTTTCTGATTTGAAATCGGCCCTACTGCAGCCTGCTGATGTTGGTGGATGAAAGGTATGTTGTTGCCAAAGTCATTAGGTCTGTTTGAGGCAGCTGGTTTCAGTTCCCGTTTCTGGGGTTAAGCTGTTTTTGCCTCTGTGAAATTTCTTCCATCAGAAGCTACTCTTTTTTTTTTTTTTTTGCTTGCTAATAGGAAATCTTTTGCCATTTGTGTACATTTAAGAGTAGCCTTCTTGGTCTTTTAATAGCTTGGAACCAAAAATTGAGCTTCAATTTCTTTTTGGTTTAGTGCTCTCCTCCTTGCTCTTCCTTTAGTTTTTAGGAGTTCTTGTGTTCTCAGTGCACTGTTTTCTCCAGAATAATTCGCAGATAAAACTTCGTTTTTTTTCTTCATCCTTCTGAGGTAAGTGGGAGTAAGGAAAATTGTCAGTCTTAAATTTGAGCCTTAAGGCTTTCTATTTCCAGTTTTGATCACACTTTGTTTTGAGCACAAGCTTTCCCGTGTTTCAGACATTAGGTAGCATCACTGTGAGTTACTTTAGAAAGCTCTAGTAAGCAAAATCTGTAGCGGGAAAGCTGGTGCTTCACTTCTCCCCCCTTAAATAACAGTAATTAGAATTTATTCAGTTTTATATCTTCAAAACATATAAAATTGTTAGCCCATTTGTGATATATCCTATACAGAGGTTGGTCTTATTTTGAGTTTATATATAAAAAACAAATGCTGCTGCATGTGTGCAGTAGAGGTGCAGGTTCTGTCTGTTGGCAGTTTATTTCTGGAATTTTGGCTTCTTATGAAGAAAGGGACCTTGTATAATTTTAATTGTATTGATCTTCATTCTGTTGAATTATTTGCTTTCAATTTGTCAGGTGGTTAATTAGAGATAATATAATACTCTGTGATTCTGCTTTATAATCACTGCAGTTTCCTTTGCAATCTTTCTCTTAGAACTGTAGGTGCCAGACTTCTTTGTGTGAGCTCCTGTTTATCATATACTCTGGTTATTGTTCTAACTTGGCTTTTACTTTGAAAAGTAGTAATCTTGTCTTGAAATTTTATAACCCATTTCTTCTAAGATTCTCCAAGGACTTTATTCCTTTAAGATAGAAGGTAGGTGTTATTACTTTCAGTTTACACATTGGAGGAAAACTTGAATGTCAGCAAGGGTATGATTTGTCCAAGATTATATAACAAGCCAGCGATAAAAGTCAGTTATTGAAGCTTCTTACCTCTTAGTCTTATCTTTATTTATTAAATCACTGATTCTTGTTATGGACTTGATTGACACCCCTTTATCCCCAGTTTGCAGGATCAGCTTTCTTAGGTAGTAAATTAGGATGAGGTTTTTGTGTTCAGCATTCTCAAGCTTGAAAGGTATAATAGCCCCTATTCTTATCTCTGCTCTCAGAGTATCCACTGCCTCTGTACTTTGTTCTTAATATTCTGTGTTTCAAATAAGAGAATAAAAAAATGTTGCTACCATTTTTGAGGGTTTTTTTTTCTTCCCCACCTACAGTTGTGGTAGTGATGGATTAGCCCTTTGCATACTTTGTTGCCTGGCCCTCTTGTGATCAATGATATGTGTATAATGAAATGACTGGCTGAAATTAGGCTGCTAATGGTGCAAAGCCTTCTCTTTTCTTTTTCTTTTTCTTTTTATTTGAGATAGGGTGAGAGCTCTGTCACCCAGGCTGGAGTACAGTGGCTTGATCTTGGCTTACTGCTGAGATCAGTAAGTAAAAATTCTATATGTTGCTTGATCTCAGCTTACTCCTGGGTTCAAGCAATTCTCCCACCTCAGCCTCCCGAGTTGCTGGGATTGCAGGGGTGTGCCACCATGCCTGGCAAATTTTTGCATATATATTTTTTTGAGACATAGCCATCCTCTGTCACCAGGCTGGAGTGCCATGGAGTGATCTTGGCTCAGGTTAAATCAATTCTCTTGCCTCAGCCTCCCAAGTAGCTGAGACTACAGTGTGCACCACCACGCCCAGCTAATTTTTGTATTTTTAGTAGAGATGGAGTTTCGACATGTTGGCCAGGCTGGTCTTGAACTCCTGAACTCACATGATCCCCCCCGCCTTGGCCTCCCAGAGTGCTGGATTACAGGCGTGAACTACCACACTCGGCCTAGCTTTTTCTTTTTAAGGTGTTTGATTTATAGAAATTAAATATATGACCTTGAACTCATAACCACACTTTTAAAAATTCTATATGTTGCTGTTTATGATAGTTTTGGGTTCATTTGGGATCTTCTCACAACTCTGAATATAAGCAAATACAAATACTCATTCTCTTCTATGCTAGACATTGTGCTAGGCACTGAAACTATGACAGACATATTTTTTGCCTTTACAGAGTTTATAATCTAGTGAGGAAGAAAGAGTACTAACAAAGGCCAGTGTGATAAAGTAAACTTATTTTGAGATATCTTTGGTTACCTAAATTTATTAATTTTCATATTTTCTAAAAAAATTTCTTGTTAGAGTATTGAGCAGATAGTGGGTTTTCTGTAGAAAATTCTTGATATTTGTCAGCTAGATACTAGGTAGGTAGTGTTTTAGTTATCCATTGATGTACAAAAAGCCACCACAAAATTAGTGCCTTAAAACATTGATTTATTTTGTCTCATAATTACGTGGGTTAGGAATTTGGGCAGGACTTGTCTGGTTGGTTCTTCTCCCCTGTGTAGCATCAGTTGAGGTCCTTCATTCATCTGCTTTCAGCTGGTAGTTGAGCTAGATTAGAAGGTCTAAGAAGGTTTCACTCATTTGCTTGGTATCTTGATAGTCTTCCACGTGGCTCTCTCTTTCCACGTGGTATCTTATCATGCAGGGCCTCTCTGAGTCTTGCTGTGTTGCCTAGGCTGGAGTGCAGTGGTTCACTGTATCCACCACCTCCTGAGTTCAAGCAGTTCTTGTGCCTCAGCCACCCCAGTAGCTGGGACTACAGGCGTGCACCACCATGCCTGGGTACGTTTTGTACTTTTTGTAGAGACAGGATTTTACTACGTTGTCCAGGCTGGTCTTGAAGTTTTCACGTCAAGTGATCTGTCTACCTCCACCTCCCAAAATGTTGGGATTACAGGCATGAGCCACTGCACCTGGCCATTGGTGACTGTCTTTGGAGAGAATCTACCATAGGCAGATAAGCTGAGGTAGTTATAGAGAATCCTTATTTGAATTCTCTATAAATGGCACAACTCTGGCAGTGCAGGGGAATCATTAGAACATGTGTTTCTATTTTTTCCTTAGTGTCATTCTTTAGTTTATTCTCTAGTGGTCTACTTTTCTTGACCCCTGAGGAAATGAATATTTAAAAAATAAAGTGGCCAGGCATGATTGCTCCCACCTGTAATCCCAGCAGTTTGGGAGGCCCGGGTGGGAGGATTGCTTGAGCCTAGCAGTTTGAGGCCAGCCTGGGCAACATAATGGGACCCTGTCTCTACAAAAAATAAATAAAATTAGCCGGGCATAGTTGCATGTACCTGTAGTCCCAGCTACTTGAGAGAGTGATGTGGGAAGATTGAGCCTGAGAGGTAGAGGCTGCCGTGACCCGTGACCGTGCCACACTCCAACCTGGGTGACAGAGTGAGAATCCATTTCAAAAATAAATAAAGTATGCAGATTTCCAGTTGATATTGCAAGGCAGTGAAACATTGATTGAAGGCCTAGTACATGTGAGACTAGACATGAAGCAAGAGAGCTAGTTGAGGAGGTTTTATCTCAGGCATTAGAGAGGTTTCTGTAGTAATTAGACACCCAGACTCTGGAGGCACATTGCCTGGGTTTGTGGGTTTGCATCCTGAATCTACCACTGACTGACTCTCTTTGTGCCTCATGTGCACAGAGATGCCAGTGAGAATTATAAATGAGTTACTTTATATAAAGTGCCAAGAACAATGCCTGGCACATTATAAGCACTATGAAAGTGTTAATTACTATTTTAACCATTGTCTCATGGTTTTATTTTACTTTGTTATTTTGTTTGTTTGTTCTTTGGAGACAGAGTGTCGCCCAGGCTGGCGTGCAGTGGCATAATCTCAGTTTACTGCAACTTCCACCTCCTGGATTCAAGTGATTCGCGTGCCTCAGCTTCTCCAGTAGCTGGGAGTACAGGCGCATGTCACCACACCTGGCTGTGTTTGTTACTTTTTTGAGTCAGGGTCTTGCTCTGTCACCCAGGCTGGAGTGTGCTGGCATGATCATGGCTCACTGCAGCCTTGACCTCTTGGGCTCAGGCTGTCCTCCCACCTCAGTCTTCCAAGTAGCTGCAATCACAGGCAAATGCCACCATGCCCAACTAATTTTAAACAATTTTTGTAGAGATGGGGGTCTCACTATGTTGACCAGGCTGATCTTGAATTCCTGGACTCAAACAATCCTCCTACCTCAGCCTCCTAGGGCTGGGATTACAGGTTTTGAGCCACTGCGCCTGGCTGGTTTTATTTTTTATTTTTAAAAAGGTGACAGTGGTAAGATCTTTTATATGAAATGGTTTGGAGACCTCAACAATGGACATTCTCATATTGCCTTGAAGAATTTGTTTTAAATTTAATTTGTCTGATTGTTTACAGGGCTTTGTGGCCTAAACTTTGTGTTCTTGTTACCATTTTCTTTCTTTCCTTTTTTTTTTTTTTCCCCTGAGGTGGAGTCTCCATCGCCCAGGCTGGAGTGCAGTGGCGCGATCTCGGCTCACTGCAACCTCCCCTTCCCAGGTTCAAGCAATTCTCCAGTCTCAGCCTCCTGAGTAGCTGGGACTACAGGAATGTGCCACCACGCCTGGCTAATTTTTGTATTTTTTTAGTAGAGGCGAGGTTTTACCATATTGGCCAGGCTGGTCTTAAATTCCTGACCTTGTGATCCGCCCGCCTTGGCCTCCTGAAGTGCTGGGATTACAGGCATGAGCCACCATGCCTGGCCCTTATTACCATTTTCATTCTAATTTTTCATTACAGAATGAAAGTATTATTCTACTATAAGCATTTTTCATATAGTAACTCTTTTGATCCTTGTGGTAACCCTGTGATATACATAATATCAATAGTCACATTTTATGGATGAGGAAAGTAAGGTACACTGAGGTTAAGTAACTATTCCTAGAAATCAAGATACCATCATATACCAAGAAAATGATGGAGCTGGAATTCAATCAACCATTCTGATTGCAGGGCCCATATACATGAGTATACTTTACTGTCTCTAATTTGGATGTTATGAATAACAATAATAAAATAAACATCACTCATAACTTCTCCATCTAGAGTTAACCAGTTAGTACTTTGGCATATCCTTGGATATCCTTTGCACACAATAAATACACAGTTCAGGGAATAGTTGGGGTTTTTCTGCTTCTAGGTGTGTTTGCCTTCAGACTGTGTTGTTTACTGTTCTAAATTTGTGATGCTTTGCCCCACATTCTCTGTACCCCTGTAAATTCAGTCTAGTCTAAGTCAGGCAAGAGCTCTATGGAGTCAGGTGTGGTTGCTGGCTTGGCTTGCTTACAATTTGGACTTTGGTCCTACATGATGTCACTTGAAATCTCCTGAAATTTCCATAGGAAAGGACTATAATATAAACAAAGCTGTTAGTCGTAGAAAACTCTTTGTATTTCTATTCATATGGAGTTTCCAAAGAGTACTGGGGCAGTTTTAGGCCTTTAATTAAAAGCCTGAAATTTTGTAATTAATTTTCCATTTGGGTGAACTTTACTTATGCAAGTTGTCAAATTGTCTTAGAATTCGTATTTAAAGGATTTTTAAAAATATATATCCTCGGGTTAAATCAAGTTATGGAATATATGTTAGTATTACATGGTTGATTTGACTTTTAGACTTTGCCCACATGGGCATAGTGAAGTGGAAGAGAGATGTAGTTACTCAAGTAAATGAGGAGATTGGACTCCATTTTAACAGCTTCTTGAAAGTCTATAGTTTTCTGGATCACATCCTAAATGCAATAGGAAGGGGAATATTTGCGGATGAATTATTAGTCAGGTTGCAGATACAACTCTAAATTGTTGGTCCTGTTTTTTTTTTTTTTTTTTTAGGTTGGAGTCTTACTCTGTCAACCAGGTTGGAGTGCAGTGGCTTGATCTCCACTCACTGCAACTTCCACTTCAAGCAATTCTCCTGCTTCCGCCTCCCAAGTAGCTGGGACTACAGGCGCGCACCACCATGCCTGGCTAATTTTTGTGTTTTTAGTAGAGACAGGGTTTCACCATGTTGGCCAGGCTGGTCTTGAACTCCTGACCTCAAGTGATCTACCTGCCTCGGCCTCCCAAAGTGCTGGATTACAGTCGTGAGCCACTGTGCCCGGCCACGGTTCTGGTTTTTTTTTTTTTTTTTTTGGAGAGGGGGTTTCACTCATGTTACCCAGGCTGGAGTGCAATGGCGCGATCTCGGCTCACCGCAACCTCCGCCTCCTGGGTTCAGGCAATTCTCCTGCCTCAGCCTCCTGAGTAGCTGGGATTACAGGCACGCACCACCATGCCCAGCTAATGTTTTGTATTTTTAGTAGAGACGGGGTTTCACCATGTTGACCAGGATGGTCTCGATCTCTTGACCTCGTGATCCACCCGCCTCGGCCTCCCAAAGTGCTGGGATTACAGGCTTGAGCCACCGCGCCCGGCCCCTGGCATTGTGTCTTAAGTACATATCCTAGCCATGTCGTTTTGCTTCTACTTGGATAAGCTTTTGGTGATTGATAATTGATTTTGGGGACTGTGTGATGGTATCACAAAGACTATTCTTGGTAACCTTTGTCTCAGTTTACTTTAAGGGACAGATTGGGAAACTTGTTTCTTTCTTTTTAAAAGAGGAATGAAAAACACAATTGACTGGCACTTCCTCCTCGTGAGCCAGCCTATCTGACTTCGGTTTGACTTAGCTCCTTTTGTTCTTTACAGGGAACACAGTAAAATCTCTTCTCAGGTGGCCAGTAAGAGTGTATCAGGAGAGAAGTCCCTTATCTTTTTAAAGCAACAGCAAATATTTTTCTTCAGATGAAAGGGAGATTGTGTAATTGTTTTACTCCCTCTGACTTATTCCCATCAGTAAAGCTTTCTCTTGCTTGAGCTTTCAGTGTGTTTAGGTCCCTGGAAATTGACAGACATGTTTGATAATCCTGACATGTTTGTTTGATCTTTAGATTTTTATTTGCCTTGGTAATGATATTTGTAGCTATTCTTTCCCCTCTCTGAATCCTGTAGGAATCTAAGGTTGCATCACAGTTTTCTGAGTCATACAGTACTTGTGTGACCTGTATTTTATTCTTCCTCTTGAGTAACAGGAGTTCAGAAGGTCAGTTTTTTTATTTTTTTATTTTTAGGAATTGGACTACTGCTATTTCCACCAAACCTTATAAAATTATAAATGGTTTAAATGTATTTAAACCATATAAATGTGAGAGATTGCACCAGTGCACTCCAGCCTGCTTTCGTATTGCACTGTTAAGACAAAGAACCCTCAAAATGTTTCTTCTGAACTTTTTTAAATTGTGTAAAAAAATTGCAGTAGAAGGTTAAGGTAAACTAATGGAACTGTATTTCTGGCACTTTCCTGGTTAGTAATTAATCACTTATATGGCAGTTTGACCAAAGGGCAACCCTGGATTCATGTCTAGACTTCTGATCCTAATCCATGAGTTGTCAAGGTTACCAAGGAGATGATTTCCTTCCAGTTAGTTCATCCTTAGCCTATTCAGGAGGTTGGCCTGAAAATGTTAATATTTTCAGTGTGTACATATTTATGCACTAATAAGTGATGAGAGCTGTTTCATGAGGATGCAGGCTAGAATTTGTTCCTTTGTCGTTCCTTAGGTAACTCTGTGCTGTGTAGGACTAGGAACTTGGAATTTTCTTACTGTGAAATCTTTGACTTTTACATCTTAGTCTCCAGGGGGAGAATTCCTTCAACACAGGCTGTTAATGTTTTTCTTCTGTCTGTATTTGGATACATCTGGTTTCATACTCTTTAGATTGCAGCCTTTTGTGAAATGTAAAGAACCAATTATTATTTGGCTTTTTATAATAAGTAGTTATTACTTTTTAGAAAAGTAATTGGTGAGGTTTGGGCTTCTAGTAATGATACACTTAAAAAATTTAAAAAATTGGCTGGGTGCAGTAGCTCACACCTGTAATCCTAGCACTTTGGGAGGCCGAGCCTGGCAGATTGCCTGAGATCAGGAGTTTGAGACTGGCTGGGCCAATGTGGTAAAACCCCTTCTCTACTAAAAAGACAAAAATTAGCTGGGCACGATGGTAGGTGCCTGTAACGCCAGCTACTTGGGAGGCTGAGGTAGGAGAATTGTTTGAACCCAGGAGATGGAGGTTGCAGTGAGCCAAGAATGCACCACAGCACTCCAGCCTGGGCAACACAGCGAGACTCTGTCTCAAAAAAAAAAATTTTTTTTAAGTGAAAAGAAAAATAGAAAATTGCCTATTGAAATTATTAAATCATCAATAATGCCACCACTCAAAGACAACCGTGGTTACTATTTATTATATTTCTTTTGTATCAATTTTCTCCAAAGTATTTTTTAAACAAAGTTGGGATTATACAGCATATAGAATTTTGTGTTCTTTTTTCACTTAACATGTATTTATCGCATAATTTATTTATTTTTTGAGACAGAGTCTCACTCTGTCACCCAGGCTGGAGTGCAGTGGCACTGTCTCTGCTCACTACAACATTTGCCTCCTGGGTTCAAGCGATTCTCATTCCTCAGCCTCCCGAGTAGCTGAGATTACAGGTGCGCACCACCAGGCCCGGCTAATTTTCGTAATTTTAGTAGAGATGGGGTTTTGCCATGTTGGCTAGGCTGGTCTCGAACTCCTGACCTCAAGTGATCTGCCTTCCTCAGCCTCCCAAAGTGCTGGGATTTTAGGTGTGAGTCACCATGCCTGGCCTCATTTAATATTTTATTTGTTTTTTTGATCAATTAATTATTTTTGAGACAGAGTTCCACTCTGTTGCCCAGGCTGGGGTGCAGTGGTTTGATTTGGCTCACTGCAGCCTCCACCTCCCAGGTTCAAACGATTCTCCTACCTCAGTCTCCTATGCAGCTGGCATTACAGGTGCCTGCCACCACACCCAGCTAATTTTTGTATTTTCAGTAGAGACGGGGTTTCACCGTGTTGACCAGGCTGGTCTCAAACTCCTGACCTCAGGTGATCCTCCCGCCTTGGCCTCCCAAAGTGCTGGGATTATAGTCATGAGCCACCATGACTGATGTTGTTTAATATTTTAAACATAATTTTTGATAAAGGTATCAGAGTTACCTATTTAGACCTAACTTAATGTTTGCAGGAAATAAAAGGTATAGAGAGACAAGCTAAATGATGCTATGAGGAAGCAATCGGGTGAGTCTAGGATGTAAGGCATTCTAACAAGTCAACTGTCATGGTCTTTTAGAAAAGCTAGTGTTGTTGGCCAGGTGTGGTGGCTCATGCCTGTAATCCCAGCACTTTGGGAGGCTGAGGCGGTGGATCACCTGAGGTCAGGAATTTGAGACCAGACTGGCCAACATGGAGAAACCCTATCTCTACTAAAAATACAAAAATTAGCCGGGCCTGGTGGCAGGCGCTTCTAATTACAGCTACTTGGGAGGCTAAGGCAGGAGAATTGCTTGAACTCATGAGGCGGAGGCTGCAGTGAGCTGAGATTACACTGTTGCACTCCAACTTGGGCCACAGAGCGAGACTCTGTCTCAAAAAAAAAAGAGAGAGAAAAAAAGCTAGTGTTATAAATAACATAAAGCAAAACTTGGAGGCCATTCTAAAATAAAGGAGACTAAAGAGATGTAATATCCAAAGTCATCAGTTGAATTTTAATTAGATTCTGGATTTTTTTTTTTTTTTTTTTTTTTTTTTGAGAGAGGAAGTGCCACTCTGTCACCAGGCTGGAGTGCAGTGGTGAGATCGTGGCTCACTGCAACCTCCACCTCCCAGGTTCAAGCTGTGACTATAGACATGCACCACCATGCCCAGCTAATTTTTGTATTTTTAGTAGAGACGGGGTTTCACCATGTCTCTTGACCTTGTGATTTGCCCGCCTCAGCCTACCAAAGTGCTGGGATGGATTACAGGCGTGAGCCACCATGCCTGGCCAGATTCTGGATTTTTTTTTTTTTTAAGTCAACCATAAATGACATCTTTTAGGCAACTGGGAAAATTCAAATGAGAACTGAAGTATTAGATGATAATTGGGGTACAGTAAGGGTATTGTGGTTATGAGGCAGAACATCCTTCTTCCTAGGAGGTGCATAATGAAATAAATATGCAGGGTTAAAATATCTTGATACCTAGTGAAATAATTCCAAAGTTATAAAAAAAAAAAAACCCCAAAAAACTAACTAAATATAGCCGTGGCGGTAAATTTGGCAAAATATTAACAATTCTTGAGTCTAGGTGGAGAATTGTGTATGTTTATTGTACTGTTTTTTCAACTTTCCTGTATTTTTGAAAACATTCATAATGGAGTTGAAGAAACAACACCACAATGGATAATGTTGTACGTACGTAGATAGTGTTTTAAAATACAGTTTTATCAGGCCACATAGTCCATTGTTTGGACCACAATTTGTTCTTTAATCAGTGCACTTGTGTGTATTGTGCTTCTAGTTGACATTTTAGTAGAATTTTAACTTGTGATGAAGTTTTCTGCTTGTAAGTCTTGTGGTAGATGAAAAAAAGAACCTGATTTTTTTTTTTTTTTTTTCATCCTTTTCCTTTTCTGTCCTCTGCTCTGGATCTTTAGTGGAGAAGAGAAAATGAGTGAGAAAGGTACTCCAAATAATCGTCTTCTTCTTCTTCTTCTTCTTCTTTTTTTTTTTTTTCGAGACAGAGTCTCATTCTGTTGCCCAGCCTGGAGTGCAGTGGCGTGATCTCAGCTCACTGCAACCTCCACCTCCTGGGTTTAGGCAATTCTTCTGCGTCGGCCTCCTGAGTAGCTGGGACTACAGGTGCCTGCCACCACACTTTGCTAATTTTTGTATTTTAGTAGAGGTGGGGTTTCGCCATGTTGGCCAGGCTGTCTTGAACTCCTGACCTCAAGCAGTCCACCCTGCATGGCCTCCCAAAGTTCTGGGATTACAGGTGTGAGCCACTGTGCCCAGCCTGATCCTTTCTTTAGACATAAGGTTGAACTATGGAGAATATGAGAGTATGAAATACTTTTGGAAGAAAAATTCTGGGAGAAGGATCTTTTCTGAGAAAGTGTCATTAAATAGGAAAATAATAATTTCCCTTTTGAGCTAGAATTGTATTTGCAATGTGAAGCTTTTCTTGTTGCAGAATAGACATTCTTTGACATTATTCTCTATTCCTTAGATTTCCATGAGGACAACGTACAAGGACCTGTATGGCCTCATTTTAGCTGCTTCAGTGTGTTGGAGCTATTACTTGCTCCTTCATTTTCTGGGCCTGGTGTGACAGTGGTTACTGAGCACTATGAAGGTTGTCCCGGAAAAGAATGCCGTCCGGATACTCTGGGGGCGAGAACGGGGTGCTCGGGCCATGGGAGCTCAGCGGCTTCTGCAGGAGCTGGTGGAAGATAAAACCCGGTGGATGAAATGGGAGGGCAAGGTGAGGAGAATGGCTGTTTTTAACATGGGATTTGTACTGGTGATGGTAGAATGAGACCTTCCAATGGGTTAACAGCAGAGGGTTGGGATATATTTATCTTGTGTGGGAGAGTTGACATATCTGACTTAGGGAGTTGTTTGTAAATTTGAAAGAATTTGTGCTTTAGAAATATCTTTTTCCTTTAAAGCTAGACAGTTTTCCTAAAGGTAATTTAAGTTTATCTCTCTGTTTGTAGCTTGATCATTGTCTCCAGTTTTTAAGCCTATACTGTGAATACTAATCTAGATTGGTTAATGTGCTTTTGAGATAGGGTGAACCATAGTTTATAAATCATGCATTTTAATTTTTTTTTTTTTTTTTGTCTCCCAGAGAGTAGAACTGCCGGATAGTCCACGCTCTACCTTCTTATTGGCCTTCAGCCCAGACAGGTACTTAGTACTTATCTATAACTTAACCATAAGATTTGTGATAGCAGTGCTTTCTGTATATTTGGCCTGGCTTGATCTGCAAGTCAGTCCCTAAAGGCTCTCTGAAGTACTATATGAACAGAGCTTTGGCCATGTGTCAGAAAGGGAAAGAAAGTACATAAGCAATGCTAACCTAAAAAATAATGAGAACAAGCAAAGAAACTGAACATTGAGAGGTTCAAAACTTGGAAAGTTTCTCAATAACAGTCTTTTGCCTGTGTGATATAGCTCACCAGTGGCATGATGGTTTTTCCAGTTGGAAAAAATATTTTCTTTTTTTTTAAGATGGGGTCTCACCATGTTGGTCAGGCTGGTCTTGAACTCCCGACCTCAGGTGATCCGCCCACCTTGGCCTCCAAAGTGCTTGGATTACAGGCATGAGCCCCCACGCCCGGCCTGGAAAAAAATATTTTCTGAATGTGCCATGTGTCATTTGGGGACAGTATTGACAAGCCAAAAGATTTTAATGATCAGAATATTTCTGTTTGTAGATATACTGCCTAATGTGCAAAGCTTAGTGTCTTTCATGTTGGGATGGGCAGTAGTATCAATATTCTGTGTTGTCCAAAGTTGATAAGGTTGGTTACCCTTCCACATGCTTCTGAATTCCGTTCTACTCTTTGGTTCTCCAGGACTCTCTTAGCCTCCACCCATGTGAATCATAATATCTATATTACGGAGGTGAAGACTGGGAAATGTGTTCATTCCCTGATTGGACACCGCCGTACTCCATGGTGTGTCACTTTTCACCCCACCATCTCAGGCCTTATTGCTTCTGGCTGCCTAGATGGGGAGGTTAGGATTTGGGATTTACACGTGAGTATTTCCTTAAGATGCCCTTTTCTTTTGGTATTCTATTTTTATTACTTTTTTTTTTTGAGTCAGAGTCTCCCTCTGTTGTCCAGGCTGGAGTGCAATGGCACAATCTCCGCTCACTGCAACCTCTGCCTGTCGGGTTCAAGTGATTCTCCTACCTCAGCCTCCCGAGTAGCTGAAATTACAGGCATGTGCCACCATGCCTGGCTAATTTTTCTATTTTTAGAGAGACAGGGTTTCACTATGTTGGCCAGGCTTGTCTTGAATTCCTGACCTCAGGTGATCTGCCCACCTCAGCCTTCCAAAGTGCTGGAATTACAGGTGTGAGCCACTGTGCCCGGCTTCTTTTGGTATTCAGAGACTTGTTTAACATTGGGTTCTTCTAGAAGAGCCTAGCCAGGTTCTTAGGACTACATCTGAATGTATTGTGGTAGACATTGCCCAGTTAATTCATAGGAAGGCTAGGTCACTGTCTTTCACTCTTTTTTTTTTTTTTGTAATAGCTTAAGCATACCCTGAGTTTGTCTTCCATTCTAAGATGAACACCTACTTAATGCTTCCTTTGGCCCATTGTGAACAGGAGGCTCTAAGATACGTGGGATGGATTTTTGTTGTCTTAGGGCAAAGATTGTCCTGTACTCTGATCATGATCATCAAAGCAAGATCCTCTCTGTCCTAGTAATTGGGTAGTGGATTGTCCTGCACTGTGTTGTACACCAAGCTTGAGTTTTCTCAGGCTTTAGATATAGGAACTGTGGGCTGGGCGCCATGGCTCATGCCTGTAATCCTAGCATTTTGGGAGGCCAAGGCAGGTGGATTGCTTGAGTCCAGGAGTTCGATACCAGCCTGGGCAAGATACTATACCAAAAATATTATACACAAAATTATACACAATTAGCCGGGCATGGTGCCATTCATCTGTGGTCCCAGCTACTTGGGAGGCTGAGGTGCGAGGATTGCTTGAGCCCAGGAGGCAGAGGTTGCAGTGCACTGAGATTGTGCCACTGCACTCCAGCCTGGGTGACAGAATGAAACCCCTTCTCAAAAAAAAAAAAAAAAAAAAAAAGAAAAAAATACATAGGAAGAACTAAAAAAAAGAAAAAATAAGAACTGTGTATATATGCTTGTAGATTGTGAATGATTTGAAGAACTGAGCTGATTGTATAGTATTTGTCTGATAAAGTAGTGACAGTGCCAGATCACTGATCTTCTACATCTTTTTACAGAGGATATATTTAAAGTCGGCCCTATATGTAGTCATTTCACCTTAAATGGACCTTTCTTGAAATTGGCTTCCCAGTCTGTTGGCAGCTTGTAACCTGAAAATATCTGGAATTGGTGCATTTGCAGGGTGGCAGTGAAAGCTGGTTCACAGATAGCAACAATGCCATTGCCTCCCTGGCTTTTCACCCTACGGCTCAGCTCCTGCTGATTGCCACTGCCAATGAGATTCACTTCTGGGATTGGAGTCGACGGGAACCCTTTGCTGTGGTGAAGACAGCTAGTGAGATGGAACGGGTCCGGTGAGTGCTCTGCCCCATCAACATTATCTGGCACAGGACTGACATGATAGAGGACATTCTACTGGCTGTCACCTTGGAAGACAGGTGGTTATTCCTGCTCAGGGCAGGTTGTCATCCTCAGGTCCTCCCGTTTTTTTGTGTGTGTGTGTTTTTTTTTTGAGACAGGGTCTCACTCTGTCACCCAGGGTGGAGTGCAGTGGCGCAATTTCAGCTCACTGTAACCTCTGCCTCCTGGGTTCAAGTGATTTTCGTGCCTCAGCCTCCTGAGTAGCTGGGATTACAGGCGCCCACCACCACACCCGGCTCATTTTTTTGTATTTTTAGTAGAGACAGGGTTTCACCATGTTGGCCAGACTGGCCTTAAACTCCTGACCATAAGTGATCCACCTGCCTCAGCCTCCAAAGTGCTGGGATTACAGGCATGAGCCACCCTGCTCGCCAGCCCCCCCGACTTTTTTCTTTCTTTTCTTTTTTTTTTTTTTTTGAGAGACAGGGTCTTGCCTTGTTACCCAGGCTGGAGTACAGTTGTGCAGTCATGGCTTACTGCAGCCTTAACCTCCTGGGCTCAAGAAATTCCCATCTCAGTCTTAGGAGTATCTGGGACTACTATGCAGCCACTCTCAACTAATTTTTAAATTTTTTTATAGAGATGGGGGTCGGTCTCACTGTGTTGCCCAGGCTGGTCTTGAACTCCTGGCCTTCAGTGATCCTCCTGCCTTGGCCTCTCAAAATGTTGGGATTATAGGTGTGAGCCACTGCACCTGGCCTCCTCCCACTTTCTAAGCAGCTGGCTAATCAACTGGGAGACATTCATTTTGTTCATTTCAGATTTCCTTATTAGCCTGATCTTCTGGTCTTTAGAGACCAGGGCCATTAGACTCTCTTTTAGTTTCCAAGCTAACTGTGTTTGGGATAGTCCTTCTTTGGGGAAACTTGAAAGAAGTTTGGGTGGTATTTTAGATAGCTCGGTAGGTCGTCTGTGTTTATCAAACTGGAAGATGGAGATGTAAGCATGTAATTGACATTTATTTAGTCCTCAAGATCAAAACATATTATCTGTATTAAAGTTGATGTATTGTGTTTCTTTGGTCCTCTTGGATTTGCAGTTGAATACAGGCTAATTTTCTGGTTTCAGCTAAGTCATTTAAGGCCGGGACTGTTCATTGCCACTAAGATTCATGCTTCTTGCTAGTGTAGCTGCCATATGAGGGAAGAACTGATCCTGTGACAGAGATGAGAGCATTTTATGCTCTACTGTTAGGATGGGCTCTTGTATTTGAGCAAATGTGTGCTTAATGTAGCTGTTTCCTGGCATGGAAACCCTAGGTGTTTTTTATGTGAAATCATTATTTTTGTGATACACATTCCTTTACTCTGGCAAAAGTATTCAGCGTTATTATTTTAACCTCTTTGAAAGTTTTGAAAGTCTTGACTGAAGTGGATACCTGAATGATACCACAGTTATCAGTAATGATTGCTATAAATTCGAATACAAGTTTCCACTTCTTGGTTAACATAATCTCTCTATGCCTGTCTTTGTTTCTTCTGTGATTTCAGTCTGGTGAGATTTGATCCACTTGGACACTACTTACTCACAGCAATTGTTAACCCCTCGAATCAACAGGTAAGTTAGTCCAGCAGTTCCAACTTCAGCTAAACTGTGAGTTCTTTTCTTAACTAGTATTCCAATTCTGATTCTATTGGATTTTAATTCTCAATACCCAAGTCTTTCTTTCCATTTAAGATTTAAAACTAGCTTTAGACTGTATGTTCAGAGTTATAGCCATAATCTTGACAGGAGAATCGATTCTGAAACCCTCCAGCGATCGCCTCATTAGAAGTAACCCTTATCATCACTAGACAGTGTTGGATAGCTTGTCACTCACGTGCCTCTGACTGGTTGACATTTTGCTTCCCCCCACTGCTTCTATGTCATAGGGAGATGTCTTTTGTAAGACAATTGATTTGTCAGCTGTACTCATTCAGATATACTACTAATTGGGAGTGGAAAATTTAATACCATGTGATTATTCTGAACCTGAAGCCAGTTGTCAGTGCTGCAAGGGTAGAGAGGTGTTTCCTATCTGTGAACGTTGTTTTCCTTAGATGATTGTCACTGGTTAGTTTTTCTTGATTTACTTGGAGGTTCTACTTAATTGCCTTGCTCTACCCCCTGCCCCATGCTGGTCCATGCTGCAGGGTGATGACGAACCAGAGATCCCCATAGATGGAACAGAATTATCCCACTACCGTCAGCGCGCCCTCCTGCAATCACAGCCAGTTCGCCGGACGCCTCTCCTCCACAATTTCCTGCACATGCTGTCCTCCCGCTCTTCTGGCATCCAGGTGGGAGAGCAAAGCACAGTGCAAGATTCTGCTACCCCCTCACCCCCACCGCCTCCCCCTCAGCCCTCCACGGAGCGCCCCAGGACTTCCGCTTACATCAGGCTCCGACAACGGGTCAGTTACCCCACAGCTGAGTGCTGCCAGCACCTTGGGATCCTGTGCCTTTGCAGCCGCTGCTCTGGCACTCGAGTTCCTTCCCTCTTGCCACACCAGGACAGTGTCCCCCCTGCTTCTGCCAGAGCTACTACCCCTTCCTTTTCTTTTGTACAGACCGAGCCCTTCCATCCCCCGGAGCAGGCCTCGTCAACGCAGCAGGACCAGGGCCTCCTGAACCGGCCGTCTGCCTTCAGTACAGTCCAGAGCAGCACTGCCGGCAACACGCTCCGCAACCTCAGTCTGGGTCCTACCCGCCGCTCTTTGGGAGGGCCTCTGTCTAGCCACCCTTCTAGGTATCACCGAGAAATAGCTCCTGGGCTGACAGGATCTGAGTGGACCCGGACAGTACTCAGTCTGAACTCCCGCTCTGAGGCGGAATCCATGCCCCCGCCCAGGACCAGTGCCTCTTCGGTGAGTTTGCTGTCTGTGCTGAGACAGCAAGAAGGTGGCTCTCAGGCATCTGTGTACACTTCAGCCACAGAAGGGAGGGGTTTTCCAGCATCAGGGTTGGCAACTGAGTCAGATGGAGGGAATGGCTCCAGCCAAAACAACTCAGGCAGCATTCGCCATGAGCTTCAGTGTGACCTGAGACGCTTCTTTTTGGAGTATGACCGGCTTCAGGAGCTGGATCAGAGCCTGAGCGGGGAAGCTCCCCAGACCCAACAGGCCCAGGAAATGCTCAACAATAACATTGAATCTGAGAGGCCAGGCCCTTCCCACCAGCCCACCCCACACAGCAGTGAGAACAACTCCAACCTGTCCCGTGGCCACCTGAATCGCTGCCGTGCTTGCCACAATCTCCTGACCTTCAACAACGATACCCTGCGCTGGGAAAGAACCACACCTAACTACTCCTCTGGCGAGGCTAGCTCCTCCTGGCAGGTCCCCAGCTCCTTTGAGGGTGTGCCATCGAGTGGCAGCCAGTTGCCACCTCTCGAGCGGACTGAGGGCCAAACGCCCAGCTCCAGCAGGCTGGAGTTGAGCAGCTCTGCTAGTCCGCAGGAGGAGAGGACTGTGGGGGTGGCCTTTAACCAGGAGACAGGCCACTGGGAAAGAATTTATACCCAGTCCAGCAGATCTGGAACTGTGTCACAGGAGGCCTTACATCAGGATATGCCTGAGGAAAGCTCTGAGGAGGATTCACTCAGGAGGTAAGCAGTTGCTTTCCTGTCTTCTGCATCCCTTGCTTTTCTCCTTGTATAATTTCCTTCAGTCCTATAGATGTTGTGGCTGTATCTGGAGTGTCTGAGACCCACGCATCTGCTTCTGATCTCCCCATTGCATTTTCTTGGAAAATCTTGCTCCGGTGGCAGAGATAGGATAGGGCCTAGCAGTATGAGTCAGTTGGCTGTGCTAGCTCTATTTCTGGCTAAGCTCAGGGTTCTGGCTTTAGCCTTGAAAGGAGAGTGTAGATTAGGTTAGAGAGGCATGAGGAGATGGAACCATTGACTTTCTCTGCCTGGCTTTTTGACCTTCTTGAGACATTGTATGTGCAGGACTACTTATTGTGAGACAATGTTCCAGAATGTCTAGGAGTAAGTAAAAGAGAACCCTGTGTGTTACAGATTACTATATTGGCTCTTCGCTGATTGTGTTGGTTTGGACAACTGAGTTCATTTCTTAATCCTTATCTTTTGGAACACTGCAGTTTGACAAAGGGAAAAGAAAAAAAATATATATACATATGTATGTATGTCAAGAAAAGTTCCAATTTTTTTGGAGATACTTGTTTTTGGACAGCATATTAATTGCTCAGTTGAGATTCTCTGAATGGATCTTACAGATGGACATTCACCTTGGGGTGGAGAAGAATAATTCATGGAAGGAAGGACTCTCCATACTCGGATTGGCATTCTAGCCAACTCTTTCATGGAAGAAACAGAGTGGGTGTAGTTGCCCGCCCACCACATGTTCCATGTATGGCTATGTGCGCATCTATCTTGATTTATTAGGGACTTCTTTCTGTAATTTTGTAAAGGTCAAATCTAGCATAATCACCAACTCCCAGAATATGCCTGTTGGATCCAAACAGCATATTGCGCTGCATTACATCCTCTGTTGAAGCAACTGAAATTTCTCTGACATAAGCTTCGCTTCTAACAAGGGTGGGAATATGAATTATGCACATAATGTACTTGTTATTTTGGGAGGATGCTTTAGACAGTCACTCGGTCAATAAGTATTAGTTGAATGGTTACAAATTTTCTAGCACTGGGCTAGGCGCGACGGAAATACAAAAGAGATATAACACATGGTCTTTACCTACCTGAGTCTACAGTGTTACTGTGGAGGCAAGACAATGAAATTGATCAAAAGTGTAGATGAGCAAATGCTTCATTATATGGTAGTGAAATCCGATGTAGTCTAATTTCAGAGAAAGGGAAATATCATCCAAGAAGGCTTTGCAAAATCAAGTCTTGAAAGATGGGTTTGATTTGGAGAGGGAAAGACCTTTTTATTTTAGGGGAACAGCACATACTAAGAGAGGAAAGGGTATGGTACACGTAGGTTCTTAGGCAGTTACTAAGGACTTGGGATGGGAAACAGAGGGTGACTTGACTGGCTGTCAGAGATAAAGTAGAGAGGTTGCTAACTCTGCCCATATGCTTGAAACCAGGTCTGGATTAACAGCTCCTGAATTCCTGGTTTTGGAATATTGTGCCTTGCATGATGGGCCACATCAGGAGCCCAAGCCTCTGTTCTTCCTCTTTGTCAATAGAGGTGAGAAGGCAGTCAGCACAGTGCATGACGTGTAGTAGGCGCTTAAAAAGTCTATTAAAGATTGCTGTAAAAGGACTGTATTAAGTTACTGCTCTAAGAAACCAAGCAGTTGCTGATTCCGTGGTACCAGTGGGCTCTAGTTAGCTTTTGTCCATTCTGCTGTAGTAGGATCTCTTCATATGCTGTTCTGAGAAATACCTGAGTGGTATAAAAGAAACTCTAGGCCAGGCGTGGTGGCTTATGCCTGTAATCCCAGTACTTTGGGAGGCTGAGGCGGGTGAATCACCTGAAGTCAAGGTGGATGGATCACCTGAGGTCAAGAGTTTGAGACCAGCCTGGCCAACATGGTGAAACCCTGTCTCTACTAAAAATGCACAAAAATTAGCTGGGTGTGGTGGCTGATGCCTGTAATCTCAGCTACTCAGGAGGCTGAGGCTGGAGAATTGCTGGAACCTGGGAGACAGAGGTTGCAGTGAGCTGAGATCAATCCACTACACTCCAGCTCAGACAATGAACAGCGAGACTCTGTCTCAAAAAAAAAAAAAAGAAACTTTATTGTTTGATGATAATTAGAGATACCAGTACTGTCAGGAGCGGTGGCTCACACCTGTAATCCCAGCACTTTGGGAGGCTGAGGTGAACAGACTACTTGAGGTCAGGAGTTTGAGACCACCCTGGCCAACATGGTGAAACATTGTCTCTACTAAAAATACAAAAATTAGCCAGGTGTGGTGGTGTGGGCCTGTAGTCCCAGCTACTTGGGAGACTGGGGCAGGAGAATTGCTTGAACCTGGGAGACGGAGGTTGCAGTGAGCTGAGATTGCTCCACTGCACTCCGGCCTGGGTGACAGAGGGAGATTCCATTTGAAAGAAAAAAAAAAAGAGAGAGAGATATCAGTTACTGAGGGCCTATTATGTGTTAGGTATTGAGTTCTTGCTTTGAAATAATTACTTCTGCTTTCAGCAGCAACTCTTTGCAAGTCAGGTATTCAATTTCCCATTTTATAGTTGAGGAAAGTGAGGCTCAGGGAAGTCAGTTTCTTGTTAAAGGTCACATAATAGGTCTCCTGAGTGAGAATTTGAACTCTGGTCTTCATGACTAAAGATTTGTGCAAGTTGCCCTTCATGGCATTTTCCTTAATATAATTTCTTTTTTTTTTGAAACGGAGTTTCGCTCTTGTTGCCCAGGTTGCAGTGCAGTGGCATGATCTCAGCTCACTGCAATCTTTGCCTCATGGTTCAAGTGATTCTCCTGCCTCAGCCTCCTGAGTAGTGGGATTATAGGCATGCACCACCACACCTGGCTAATTCTGTATTTTTAGTAGAGATGGGGTTTCTCCATGTTGGTCAGGCTGGTCTCGAATTCCCGACCTTAGGTGATCTGCCCACCTCAGCTTCTCAAAGTGTTGGGATTACAGGCGTGAGCCACCACGCCTGGCTGAATACTTCATTTTCAAGTGAGCCACTTTTTTTTTTTTTTCTTTTAACTTGTTGTTATGGAAATCTTCAAACGTACATAAAAACAAAGAGAAAAGTGTGACTGAACTTCCATACACCTATAACCTGACTTCAAAAGTTATCAGTGCTTGGCTAGCTTTCTTTAATCTGTATTCCATCTGCTCCTCCCACCTAGATATCAGATAATTTCGTCTGTAAATACTTCACTAGATTTTCTAGAGCAATGCTGTCCAATAAAACTTCTTACACTGATGGAAATGTTCTCTCTCGGTGCTATCTAAAATGGGAGCCACTAGCCCCACATGGCTATCGAGCATTTGAAATGCTTCTACTGTGATCTGAGAAAATAAATGTAATTTAAAAATTTTTTTTTTTTTTTTTTTTGAGACGGAGTTTCACTCATGTTACCCAGGCTGGAGTGCAATGGCGCGATCTCGGCTCACTGCAACCTCCGCCTCCTGGGTTCAGGCAATTCTCCTGCCTCAGCCTCCTGAGTAGCTGGGATTACAGGCACGTACCACCATGCTCAGCTAATGTTTTGTATTTTTAGTAGAGACGGGGTTTCACCATGTTGGCCAGGATGGTCTCGATCTCTTGACCTCGTGATCCACCCGCCTCGGCCTCCCAAAGTGCTGGGATTACAGGCTTGAGCCACCGCGCCCGGCCCAATTTTAAAATTTTTAATTAAATAGCCACATGTGACTAATGTCTATCGTACGCCTAAAATGTTATTAATTGTTTAATAAAGGCTGGGTGTGGTGGCTCATTCCTGTAATCCCAGCACTTTGGGAGGCTGAGGCAGGTGTATCATGAGGTCAGGAGTTCAAGAGCAGCCTGGCCAACATAGTAAAACCCCATCTCTACTAAAAATACAAAAATTAGCCATGGTGGCAGGCACCTGTAGTCCCAGCTACCCAGGAAACTGAGGTGGGAGAATCACTTGAACCTGGGAGGCGGAGGTTGCAGTGCGCCAAGACCACACCATTGCACTCCAGCCTGGGTGACAGAGTGAGACTGTCTCAAAAAAAAAAAAAAAAAAGTAAATGATTATTAATAAAAATAATCATTTTCTAATGATATACATCAGTAAAAACCCTATCTCTACTAATAATACAAAAGTTAGCCAGGTGTGGTGGCACATGCCTGTAGTCCAAGCTACAGGAGTCTGAGGCAGGAGAATCGCTTGAACCTGGGAAGTGGAGGTTGCAGTGAGCCGAGATTGTGTCGCTGCCCTCCATCCTGGGCAACAGAGCAAGACTCTGTTTCACAAAAAAAAACCCAAAACCAAAACCCAGAAACTATTAAGGATATACCAAACTTTTTTGTTTAAATGTAGCTTTCTTTTATGGTGCCAAAAAGTATATGCATTGTGGTTTAAAGTTCAACCATTTAAAAATGTGCATTATAAAAAATGAAAACCCTGGTCATCTCACTGTAAACAATTTTATATTTATGCTTTTTCTTTTAAAATATATAAATAACTCAGGGTTTTCGTTGTAAAATAGTGTATTAATACAGTAGTTAACATTATGTATGTGGAATCACTTTTAAATGACCTAGGATGTGGTATGTCATGAAGGCTGACAGCTGTCTCAAAAATGAGGTATGTTGTAAAATATTCTATGCATACACATTAAAGGACCACCATTTGAATGACTGCATTCTGGTGTAAATCACTAAGACAAACAGTTGCTAGTCTGCCTCTTCTGCTTAGAGCTAAAAGTCTCTAGCTGATGAGCCAGCCCTTGTTTCTAGTTCTCCAGCAGGTGTCACTGTTGGGCTGCTGCTGCTAGGTTGGGATGGCTGGGAAGAAAAGATGTCCTTACTGTTTGTGTATGAGGTTAGCTTTTCTTAACAAAGCCTGTTTTTGGAGATGACTGTTGTTCCTGAGTGAGTGGAGTTCACAAAAGGCGATTGTGTTTGAAAGGAGAAAGTTTTGTTCATTGGCCTTGTAGTGGGAGATAGGCTAAGA